CTTGATTTCATCTAGACCATTTGTATTAGTGACAAAGATAATTTGTCATTTGTCATAAGGCTATAATGTATGAGGAATTCAGGGATGTATGTATTTCAGTTGAGTGTGAAATATACGTGATGTCTCATACATAGGAGAAATGCTACTTTGCAAACATTATTCAATATGGCAGAAAGTTCACTTCAGCACTCGTGTTTATATATTTTCTAAAACAGGTAGAACGATTCTGGGGTTATTGGCGACGTTTCAGAATAATCATTGGTGATTTGATAAATCACAAATACCCATAATCACTACTATGCTATTTTTAAAACGGAATTCTCTGAGTAAATGTAGAATATTTACACTTCCATAAAAACACAAAAATAACTGTGAATGGTAATTCAGGAAAATGTCAAAAGTAGCAAAATTACAATAAAGGTTAGTTTCAGCAGTCGTTAACAGTAATGTTGTTGTGCCTAAAATGACTGGGGATGATATCACAGAACACACAATTTCCCGCAGAATTCAAAACTGTGAATTTTATTTGTGTGTGTGATGAGTTTTGGATGGATGCAACTTCAAAATAAGTGTTTAAGAGGAGTGACACATATATCCAGGGGATAACACTGGGCAATATACAGGAACAATTATTTTAACTTGTTTTCAAATGTTTGATTGTTATGTGGCCACCTTAGAGGATGTCAAATCACTTCATGAAAGTACTAAAATAGGTCATCCGTTAATGAAATTTTGAATCATTCGTCAACGAAATCTTGAGTCACCCGTCAAAGATATTTTGAGTCATCTTTCCATGACATGCAACTATCCTGCAGATCAAGGCCATGCAGCCCTTTCCCAGCTATCAAAGTCACATGAATAAAGACATCAGTTGATCATCCGTATGTTGTACCCATTTCATGTAGTTCAAGTTAGAATTCATGAATTCCAATTGTTTGCCTTGGAAAAACAAAATGGCTGACGTTAGTCATAAGACTGGTATGACACACACTGAGGCAATAAATCTCTATATACATTTTCTACTTTACATATTCATGGATGAATCAAATCAATTGTGTAGGACTTCCATAACCTTTTGCTTATAATATATTCTTCTACAAAATCCCAGATTATCTTTAAATAGTGACAGTTAACAAGAAAACCAAACTGCTCTCTATCCTCACAAGCAGTGATTTCCTTAATCTACCATGGGAATCAACAAAAACATCCACTTGTAGTTAATATTCTTGGTTTAGTGTGCAAGGCATATCCTTATCACATTCTAATTTAGGTCTTGAAGCCTTCAGTTCCTCTTGATGGCAACCTTTAATGCCTAATCTATGACCACTCAGCATCTATGTTATCAACAGACTGACAATAACAGTAACTCTGGGAATGCTGTTGAGTAAATAAGCCTTAAATTGTCCAATAACCAGATTCAGACTGCACTAGCTGACACCACAAACCCCACAAAGCGTGGCGGAGGACGCCAAGATGGTTCCACGTCCTTGCTGTTCATATACACTTGTAATAATATATTTCTTCTAAAGGAATATCAAATGACTTCTTGTATTTTTCTTGTTCCAAACCTGTGTGAATCTTAACACGAACATCATCTTCCTGCCCTGGCTACAAGAAACATCCATGCATGTGAAACCAGGTTCCCTGGCAGGTTCCTAGTGTTACGGATAGAGGCAATTAGATAATACCACTATCAACTTTAATATCCCTGTTTATTCAGCAGAGGAAGAAGACACTACAATCAGTTATTGAATTTTCAAACTAATTCTGAACATGAAAAAAAAATAACTGGACAAGTTTCTTTGTACATTGCGCTGGCTAAAACAAAAAGGGGTGTTTGCAGCTGAAATGAAATATTCACTATAAAGTGCAGCATCTCGATAACTCCATAACCTATCACCCTTTTATTGCACCTAAACAGCCAAAGGCCTGTAGCAAAACAAGCAAGAAAAAAAATACTAGGATAAATCAAATTTTCTAAGTGTGAGCTTTATAGGCCCATACAATATTAATATTACACAAATAATGTCAAATTCACTTCAGCTCCTGCTAACTTCTGAAAGTGTTTATTCTGATGTTAACTTGATGTTGTAATAATGATAGTTTTCTCCAGAGGGGCAAACTGCCGTTTCTCAGACATGCAATTCGGGCAGGGAGGAAAATAATTACCAAGACTCCCCTCTGATAACTGAAGGGGAGGAATTTCTGGAAGATGATATAAGGCCATAAGTCAACAATAGCTATGATGAGAAATTCATGGTTGCTACGCCATGTCGACGCCGAATCAGTGTTACAATGACAGACCAATCAACTAGGAAGGGCCAAAGACTATCAAAACAAAATTGGTTTATCCAGAAAACTTTTGAAATCAATAAATTGGTAGCAGTTATTTACCCTAATTTTAGAACTATGGGTTCTGACCAGACTGGTCACTATAAGTACATTTGCCGTCTCTGATTTTATTTCATCTGCCTTTCACACAGGAGATGGGCTTGAGCGATGGGAGGAAACGGGTGATTCTGCGTGTTAATCCGATCTCGAATTTGTTTCCCACTTTGTCTTAAGCCAGACCAATGCTTGTTGTCAGAAAAATCACTTGAAACTAGTCAATATTTGTTCTTATTGAAATAGGCTTCTATGTGAACATGCCTCCATTTACTCCTGTTGGAGAGCCATGTTTGTGTTGACAAGAGGTCTTGTGCGATTAAATACTTTGTGATGGTTTCATAATGCTGTCTTCAACAAGTAATTGATTCTTTTTTCTCAAAGCAGCACAACATAGATTAAACACTACCACTGATAATGAATACGATCCATAAACGATATCCCAGTACATAAATGAGACACGCAGTGAAAGGAGAGAACTTTATGGGCAATGAAATTCCCAAGTACAGGTTAATCAGAAATTGGAAAACTCAAAGAGATGAATCACTCCAGCCCCTGCATTTGACCAGCTCCTTCAAATCTGAATAGATCATTCAAATATATTGGGAATAGGAACTTTGCACAAACATGCTACGATTTTCTTGACATTGACATTGAATACGGATCTGAAGATTATATTATGTAAACATCAACACATCATTAGAAAGATAATTTCAACATTCTGATGAAACAATCTGCAAATGACAGCTGGACGGCAAACTGTTTTCAGCAAATTTTGAATTTCTTATTTGGCTGTATTCTCCGTGTATTGCAGAGTTTCCTTCACTGGCACACATTCTAGCAACACAACATAGTTTTTCATATTTCCCCATAGAAAACTAAAAACCATTAAGTAACTGATCCCAATTCAATACAACAGACAATGTTTTTTCTTCTGTTGTGTAGAATAGACAGAAGCCGTCATAAAAACACTTCACAAGTATTGTCCGAGAGACACTTTATTGCTCCTAAATAGCACAGATTTTGACATTTAATGGTAACAATCTAATTAACCACACTGGCTTTCATGGCTCTCTTGAATCTTCTTTTTACGCATATTGATTCTAAACCAACTGTGACTGAATTAACTTAATTACTACATCTTTGAAAATTGAATTAAAGGGAAGTAACTGTGGCCAAATAACCCTTCCCTGAATGGGTCAGATTCCTAAGTGATCTCAGTAAGGACTCTATTTCCCGGCATTAACGTATTGGCCAATCGATTCCTTTCAATTCACCAAAAATAAACTTTTTCATCACTTGACATTTTCCTTTCTTAAATCAAAATTTGAGTGCCTTAGAACTACTTATCAAAGTCAACACTAAGACTCTTGGCTTGTTTTAGGGCAGCATTAGATCCCATTAACAATTTTTATGTGGAATTTTCTCTGTCCAGGTAACAAAGCGATCATGCAAATCGATATGAAATACATTTTTGAAGTACAGTAGGGTCAATTGTCCATGGTGCACTTACGGTTAAAAAAAACCCAATTCAGTGTAAATTCTATTACACTTGCTGACTGTGACATTTGATGAGGTTATCCATAACGTTGTGATATATCTTGTTTGGCTCATAACCATATTGTATAAGAAACAGGAAGTCAAAATACATTTTTTATGATATATAAAAAGGAAATGATTATGGTAATATTTTCCACATATTAGACTTAAGCTAAATGTAATGCAAAGGTCCATGTGTGGAAAGATTCTTTTTATCTTTATGTAGATTTGAAAAAGAACTCTTTGAATATGCATTAAAACATATTCTTTGACTCTCACCTCTCAAAGCAAAAACAAAATTATTTATATAATTAAGGAGTGACAGCTGGCACACAAAGAGTCACCTTTTCACTTATTTTGTTGAGTGATATCAGGCATGTTCCTACCCACAACACGACAGATGTTTTATTGTCCATCATATCGTGTAATCACTTGAAAGTACTATCAGGTACTGCCATGCCCTTCTTCGTGTTATCAATCACATCATGTAATCACTTGAAATTAAAGTATTAAAAGGTACTTCCATGCCTTCCAATTGCTGCAGGAGGAAGTTTTCAAACTTGCTTAAATTAAGCTTTTTCAAATTTGTTTGCAAGCTTAAAATTCCAATTAAATCTCAAAGTTAGATGCCTGCTGTGAACAATTGACACATTGTATAAGGACATCATTAATTTGTTGAAGCAGCGGAATGAAACGTCAAGAGATTACCAAAGGTGGACCTTATGCCATGACAATATGAAAGTCTTGCAGTAAAGGTGATAACGTCATTTCAACATGTTCATCTACCTTTATATAAACAAAGAACGTTTACAAATAATCAAATTTGAAAACAATAAACAAACAAAACTTGAGGAAATGTATATTTTCTTAAAGCTACAAACAACAGTGGTTCACTCCTGTAATCTCTTCCTCCGAATTTCCCTGTCATTAGCAAGTCCAAAACAACAAAGCCTCATCCATTCAGAGCTTACAGGGAAGATTTCATTTTCTTCTGACAACCAAACACCTTATAAATGACACAAATCTGAAATATGCCAATTCCATTTCCCTATTCACAGATTTCTTTTTGTACTTACCATGAACATGCAGCCTGATTGGACGAACTTGCACAGGATCGGTGTTGATCTGGCAGGAGTAAGTTCCCTGATCAGAGGGCTTCACGTTGCGAATGTGCAGATTCCATTCCTTCACATATGGTCTCTCCAGGCTAATCCTTTCATCAGCTATGATTCTACGATCTTCAAATGTCAGCAGTTTGTCTCTGTGGTCTAACCATACAACCTACAACACATAACAACATTATGAAGCAACAACACTGAATTAGAACTAGAATTAGAAAGGTATGGTGTATCTAAGGCAAAGAAGCAAAATCTTAAAGCAAATTGTAAATTGAAACCTCAAACTGAATTCCAACTCAATTATATCAATATATTGCTTAGAATGCTGTAACTTTATGGATGAGAAAGAATCCTTATAAAAAAATAAAATATAAATTGGCACAATGGTATTGTAGCACCATGATCACCATGCTTAGTCAGTAGAAAATGGTTTAACCTGGCACACATTGTCCACATTGCATATGACATAAGTCATAGGCATAAAACTCAAACTATATAAATAAATAGCCATCGTTATCTGCAACTCATTTACAGCTTACACCACTCATTCTATGACCTTGAGTGTTATTTACAAATAAAACACGCATAAATATGTCATCATCCTTATTTCGTAGTTGTCTTCCAAGCATGAAGACAGTTAATTCTCAGTCTCCTTTTTCTCCTTTGTAGAAACTGTGTTCACTGGACCCAAGGTAGCACCGTAGGACATCGTAATTTGCCACTGATAACGGAGGTTACAAAAAACTCAATGTCTACATATAATCACATCTAAATGTAAATCTTCAAGAAATAATCTGTATAATGACCACCTCATTTCTCAAGGTACTAATAAAATGACTGCATCTTTATTTCATGGTAGATGTTCTGTTTGATTCATGTTTCATATATTTGTTTTGCATACAGTTTGCGTGTTAGGACCATCTTGATTTGTTGTAATGAGTTACCTCAGAAACTGAGTGATGTCCAATGATGATCAGAGACGATGATGGGCTCTGTCTGAACATCACCACAAGTCAGATAATGATTAGAGGACCCCTGATGTGCTAAACATCTATCCTGTACAGACAGGCTGCCATTCACAGTCATAATGAAACACAATGTTTTCACACCACCAGGCATAACGAAACACATGGGCTGTATTGGATATACATGTATTTGTTTCAGGGTCTGTATGACAGACTATTCTCACTCCACCAGGCATAACAAAACACAATGTTATCACTCCACCAGGCATAACGTGACACAATGTTCTCACTCCACCAGACTTAATGTGACACAATGCTCTCACTCCACTAGGCATAACCAAACACAATGTTTTCATTCCACCAGGCATAACGTGACACAATGTTCTTAATCCACCAGCCATAACGAGACACAAAGTTCTCATTCCACCAGACATAACGTGACACAATGTTCTTACTTCACCAGCCATAACGAATGAGTGATGCACTATCAGAAGGTGTATATGCATCATAATTATCATCTGTATGAACAAGACTTTGAGAGGCATTTAGAAATTGGACTACTTTTTTCTTATAATTAGGAGCAATTTGCCCCTATTTGTAGTAAACAAGTTGTTCATCCATATCTTATCCTTCCTTTACATGATAAAACAATGTCTCTGTATTTCATCGATTAGGCTAGGTTATCAAGTTTCTTGTCTTACAGTTTGTTTGTTAAAGGCAGGAGGAAAAATGAAAATTATTCTCTGCTTTGATTTGAGGTTAAATTCCTAAATGAATTAAAAAGTTTGTTATACAAACAAACAAACAAATATTTAAAAATAGTATAGAGTAGACTCAACTCTAAAATAAGAGAAAAAACTTGTCTGACCTAAGAAAGGAAAAACAGCTGAGGTGCTCTATGGTCTGCCACACTACAGGAATCCTTGGTGAGAAGAGTTTTGCCTAATATTTGTATTAATGAACTCAGCACCATGTATACCGTCATCTCCCGTTACTTTGAGAGGAGATTAAGATCCAGGGAATCCAATCTATTTCAACAGATTCAATTTGATGCAGTTATTTTGTATTTGTGCATCACTTACAGGCCTCTATGGAAGGGTTACGGATCAGGCTGTACAAATGGTTTGCTACATGTAACTATTTGTTATAGGCAAGGTTCACTGCTAGGTATTGAACTACATGAGATGCTGCACAGTTGACACTTTCATGAAGATGTATGATTTAATGATATTTTGTGGACAAAATCTAAGGCTGACTTATGAGAGTTAGACAGGACCTGACTCTGGCTAGTCTGGACTCTTTGTCTAAACATGGATCCTGTTAGCTTGGAGCATGTTTGCTTGCATGGACCATGTTTGTTCATACCCTGTGAGTCTGCATGGACCATGTTAGCCTGGACCTGTTAATCTGCATGGACCCTGTTTGTTCAGACCATCAGTCTGGACCATGTTTGTTCAGACCATCAGTCTGGACCATGTTTGTTCAGACCCTGTTAGTCTGCATGGACTATGTTTGTTCAAACCCTGTTAGTCTGGACACATTTAGTCTGTATGGAGCCCACACTTTAAGATGATTACTGTTGCAGATGCCTGTCTTAATATACAAATTGATATTACTATGTGCCCTGATTTTATTATGATTCATAAAGACTGATCTTCATGCAAAGTCTGACCTCTGAATTATACTTCATACATGGGCATGTCGACTACATCTCCCATCTTTTATGATAAATAATCCTGAACTTTGTTCATCCAGATCATATCACTGGGACAGTAACCATGGTAACGCCAGGATTTCACTCAACGTAAGATTCTATGGAGGATCTCTGTGGCAAATTCATGGCCAAAATATACATTCTACCAGTTTGGCTACAACATCACGTAGCTGTCTTCAAAGGATACTGCCCTTTCATTGTTGTGGTTTGTTCTTGTTTGACCCATTACCGTTTTAGCCCTTGGACTAGGGCTGGGACGGGTAACTCGGGTACTCAGGTCAGGTGTGGAGCCAAGGACCCACAGGACTACCTGGTCCCATGGTAACCAATGACCAAAAACTCACTATAGCTCAGTGGTTACACTACAAGTCGCTAATGTTTGCTTTTCTTTCTAACGTTGCACACATTGCTTTTGATCTGTATATGTTTGAGTAAAGATAAAACTTCAGTCAACTTCACTGTACGCATGGTCTGATCGTTTGATACACGTTTCTAAACAGTTATTGCCAGGGCTGCTACAAAACAAATCCAAATCAGTCATTTTGTTCCCAAATCCTGAGACATACAATGGGTACACGGGTAGTGTCGGATAGTTGGGGTCTGTTTCCCGATAGTAAATTTGGACTTGTCCATCCCTACCTTGGATGTGCTTTAAAATCCTGAGGGTCAGTTGTCTCTTTGCTGTCTGAACCCTTGGATGTTCTTTAACTTCCTTAGGGTCATCTATCTCTCCACTGTCTTAGCCCATGGGCATCCTTTAACTTCCTTAGGGTCATCTATCTCTCCACTGTCTTAGCCCATGGGCATCCTTTAAAGTCCCGAGGGTCAGTTGTCTCTTTACTGTCTTAGCCCATGGGCATCCTTTAAAATCCTTAGGGTCATCTACTTCTCCACTGTCTTAGCCCATGGGCATCCTTTAAAGTCCCGAGGGTCTGTTGTCTCTTTACTGTCTTAGCCCATGGGCATCCTTTAACTTCCTTAGGGTCATCTACCTCTCCACTGTCTTAGCCCATGGTCATCCTTTAAAATCCTGAGGGTCAGTTGTCTCTCTGTACTATCTTAACCCTAAGATGTCTGTTTAAATCCTGAGAGTCAGTTGTCTCTCTGTACTGTCTTAACCCTAAGATGTCTGTTTAAATCCTGAGGGTCAGTATACTCTTCTTCACTGGATGTGTATAGTAAAGGGATGTGTATAGTATGACACTGGCAAGTCATACTATTTATACACTACTTGCCAATTTGTTACATACACTTATTAATCAATGCCAATATGACATTCCAGGCAATCAAGCAACAGCATGGACAAACATATCACCAGACGAACTACGAATGACCTATTATCCATCCACATCTCTGATTTGCCAGTCTCATTGTCATGTTGACAATCAACAAAGCTACTAGTCGATCCAAAACAAGGCAGGCCACTTCAGTGATGACAAACACACCCAACCTATCAAGAACAGCCATTTAATTGAGCCTGTTTCATCTTAATCTTTGAGATCCAGGGCAAAACTCCCAAATGAAGCCTTTATTGTCTTACAAGAAGGATGTCAAATTCATTTATTAACCAAATTCTGTGAAATCTTAAGCTTAACACATCATTTTATACACAAATTGTCAGCCATTATGATGTAAAATCAATAACCATTGTATTCCCTTCAGAAAATTTGTCTGCATGTTGTTTTAATAAAATGCATTTCATAACATTAATCAATCAGCATTAAGCATTTCAATGCCACAGCATGCACACATCACCTCTATGCTTATTAATCACACAACCTCACTCCAATACAGACTTTAGACACCCCATCTCAATAATGACACCAATACATACATACAAACAAACAAACAAACAAACAAACAAATACAAAATTACCATTGCCTGTAGAGTTGGACTCTGAGTGTGAACAATCTCCCGTGCCATATACTTGAATACATCACTTTGATAACAGTAGCGTAACAGATTCATTATGATCAAACATGTCTGTATGTGACATAGTTTGCTATTATAATGATATAAGATGCACTTGTCAGTGGGGTACATACGAGATCTACACAACCAGTTGTCGGACTTCCATTTTGTGGAAGCCTCTGTGCCTGAGTAGGTTAGATCGCTAGATTAGCTGCCCCAGTGTGAGAGTATGGGATTGAATCCTGGATGAGACACAACCCCAAAAAGTACCAGAATTTGTAATTTACTAAGAAAATGTAATCCCAATATAACATTTGTTAAATCTTGCACATAATCAGCCATTTTCCTCATTTCACTAGAAACTGTGGGAACACTGCTGGTGTACTCCTGGTGTTTGGAGATGTCTTAAAATAGGCATTTTGCCTCCTGACCAATCAAGTCTGTTTGTAGTGTACATTGTAGTGATGCTTGAGAGAACATTGGTGGAGAACTCACAGTCACACTCTAGTCTTTCTATATCTCACACTGTAACTGGTATTCACAGGATTCAAAAACATCTGCAAAATTGATGG